TTTGCAGGCAAGCTCTGCAGCCACACTCCCCGGGCACTCCGCCAGCAGCAGCACAGCAGAGAGGGTGGCAACAAACCATGCCATGCCATGCCACCTTTACAGTAAATTAATTAATTTTAACAGTTAATGTTTTGAGTTATTTTCTAATTTAAAAGCTCCTGGCAGACTTGTGCCAGTGTTGAATTGACAGGTACTATTATTGATTTAAATCATATTGCTGTCATATAACAAATACGAAACCTTATTTTTTGGTAAGTGTACAGGTAGGATATCTATTGTGTGGATACAGCCCACATAATACACAGAGAGCTGCATACGTGGCCCACAATTGTAAATAGGTTGAGAACCACTGCTCCAGCACGGGGTCCTAATGATAAATGCAAGAGCTGTAGAATCAGGCCCACCATCTATCACACAAGAGGAACACACACGCACACACACGCAAAAAGAGGCTATTTTAAAAGGACACTAACAAATGAAATATGGCCCCACACTGAGGATTTGTAAAATTCACCTTTTACAAAACCCAAGAACAAACTCTTCTTTTGCCATTACAGTGGAAAGTGTTAGAGCATAATAAAATAAAACAGACCAAACAACCCCCACACCCCAAAATGTAACATCCCCAGGGAGCATTTGCAACCCAACCACAGCAAAAACTGAGCTAGGGCAAGGCAGGCTGAAAATGAAACTGATTGCTCTGTTTCCATTCTTGGGGCCAAAAGAAATGTACACAATTGACGTAAACCCTGAAAAGTAAATTGGATGTTTAAAAAATACTTTCAGTTTTAACATTATCAGCTAAACATAAAAACACACACAAGGAAATTAGAGTTTTCCAGACTCATGAATTTTAAGCGGACAGCCCCCCTTTAAATTCAAGGACTATTTAACATTCCTTCTGTATACACTTACCCTCTTGCCCTGCTTACGACTTACTTCTCAAACAAAACAGAAAGTTCCCAGAACTAAATTCCACGAACAAAATCACTGTTTCTCTCCAGGATTACATGCATTAAAGGAACCATTGTACGCCAGGCAGTTGCCTAGCAGGGTTGAGACTGCTCTGTCTAGCACGCTGCCAGCCCGATCATACATGAACTGTGCTTTAGAATCTGACACAGTCACCAATTTGATTAAAGTAAATGTAGCGCTGCAACTGGGGAGACTGAAATCCTCTACATCTGCAGAGTGGGAACAACATAGGCGGGAGCAGCAGAAGCTACTCTGTAGCCTTGACCTGAAGGGACAATCCTTTGGGGATGAAAAGGTGCTTAAGTCCCATGCCCCATTCATTCACTCCTCATCCTCTCTAACAAGACCATGCCTACAAGATCCCACTTCCCCCAGGGGAGGGCAGCTTTACCCTCTTTCCCCCAGATCCCCCACCAATGAAAGTGACCTGGGGAATGCACCGGATCAGCAGATCACCTGGCTAACCCTGGTCCTGCCCCTTCCCAGGCCACGCTGCTGGCAGGCTCCAGCAGCCTGGCAAGAACTTGCACTATTGTTCCCCACACCTCTGGGTGAACTCATATATGCTCTACTCCCCTGCATCCATGGTTACTTTCCATGTGGCTGCTATTCCCTTCCCTTTCCCAGCCTTAGAGGAATTGGGACACTACTTGACATCCCTCTGATTGCTACATTTCCATTAGATTTTCCAACTCCGATCAGTGTTTTATTTCAAGCCAAGTACTCTTAACAGTTAACATTTTGCAATGTTACAGAACTTCAAGGGGCTTTTTCTTTATAATTAAACATACACCCCTGCAAGTAATAAAGAGGAAAATCAGGTTAGCATCATGCCACTGACTTTGGTGGAGTTATTCCTGATTTACACCAGCGTGGGAAGAGATATCAAAGCCAAACTATATTTGTACAACATAATACGGTCATAACTGACCACATTCTGATCTCACTTGAGTGACTGACTTTTCAATAGTGGAATATAGTGTATAAAGAAATCTTAAGTGTTCTCCCAAAAAATTGTTTTAAAGGTCACTGGAGTCTCACACACACGACCGTACTTGCACATCTTAAAAACTACCCAGTTATTTCACACCTGCATGAAAAGACAGCAGGCATCCCAGAGATTGACAGGTTATTGCCACCATACCAGGCTGTGACCTGCTCATGAACTGACCTTTGCAAGCGTTAGCCACCCTCTGCTTGAAGGCTGAACAGCTTGCTACCGGCAACCCTGACAATAAAACGTGTGTTCCAATCACTCAAGCAAATTAAAGAGAGTGTAGGGTCCCTGAGAAACAGACTCCGTACGAATAATGATCTAACACACCATTAGAGGTATTACAGTAGCTCCAAACTCCTCGAATAATGAGAGACAGTGAAATAAATGCACTAAGTCGGCAAGGGATGTGGAAAATACTTCTGGGAATTTTTTTTCTACTGATCTCTAAAGATCCAGAAATCTTAAAAAGCCCAACAACCAAGGGAAAGATAGAAAACTACGATGTGTGTGTGCGCGCAACAGAGTGATACTGAAACTCAGGGAGCAGGTGCCCTTGATAACAAAAGAAAACATCCCTTGCATAAGCAAAGGTAAACTATACTACCCTCTCGCCATGGTGGGCAAAGAAACTGTGGCGCATGTGAGGGGGAGGAGGGGCGACGAAGGCATGTGCCTGGTGAGTGCACGCTGGTTTGCTCTCCTTCCCCTCCCCCCAAATCAACATGTTTTTTATTTTTAAATATCAACATTTGGAAAGATAAACGGGTTGCTGGAGGCCTTGTCCATACACAGAGCTGTGTTTAACTCAAAGAGTGATTTTATATCAATTTAGTTAAACCCGTGCAACTTGTGTGTTTTCGCAATCTTCTATCAGTTTAAAGCTAGCGTATCTCGGTTTAATTCGCATTGATAAACGTATAGGTGCAAGCTAAACCAACAGAACCAGTCTCGAACAGCCCACGCACAAAAGCTGCACTGGTTTAACGAAGCCAAGTCAAGTTAAACCGGTGCAACTTCTGTGTCTAGACAACGTCCCTTTAACTCAGATACAACAGTGATATAAAGATCAAGGCAGCCTCATGTACCCACTGGGATCAAACCACATTATAATGGACTTATGGTCTAAGTTACGTATCAGCACATTGGCGTAAGCCCAATGGGGAGGTGGAAGAGCAGAGTGCCGCTGAAGCAGTACCTAACAGAAGGGTTTAAAAAGCAGACTCCCCCTACTTAGTCATACACCTTCTCACACCGCTCCCTTCTCTCGGGACCTACTTACCTAGCTTTATAAACGTATAATCTATTTGGCCCTTTATAGGTTTGCAGTGGCGACACTAGTGTGTTATAACATGATCCTTCTAACACAACAGGCTATTTAAGCAGCTTACACTGTGTCTTATGCCTACACACTCTGTAGGATTTGTGCCAATTCTGTCATCCTGCCGAGGTTTTTCCACAACAGAACGAGGAGCTCAACAAAACAAGACTTGAAAGTAAAAGCCATTGATTTCCTTGATTAGACACAATGCAAAGCCACAGAGCCCTCATTATAAACAAATCTCCATGGAACAATTCGGGATGCCAGCAGCCTGGCCACTCCTATGGCTCCAATTAAAAAAAATAAAAGGGTCCTTCCTGAGATTTTTATAATCACAAACAAGAAATTGTAACTGCCAGAAATGCCAAGTTGTGTAAATTACAAAGAAAAGTGGTGGGGTGGGTTTTTTGGGGGGGAGTGGGGAAAGAAGTAATTTACAAGGAAATATTAGGATTTGATCTGCTTTCAATGAAGCCAAAGGCAAAAACCTCCCTTTGATTTCACAGGCCCTTCTACTCAATCAAATAACCTGCTGGTAAAACTCCAGTTCCACCGGAGGTGCCTCAGAAAAAGGCTTCTCGGAGCATGTTGTCAGTTCCTCTCTTCGCCACTTGTTGAATTATTTGTTTGCAATAAGGTAACTGGAGTCCCCAGGAGGCCACCTAACACCTCCCTTCCCCAGGCCATCTGGTAACAACACCTCCTCCTGGGTTTCCTGGCTGACAGTAAATCCCAGGGCAGGTGGCAGTGATTATTCGACCCCCACTGCCTGAGCCAAACCACCTCAGCAAGCGGCCGCAGGCTTGGGCACTTCGCTGCTCCTAGCGCCTGGGCGGGAGGGAAAGGAGCCCGGCCTGGCTTCCAGGGGCAGCAGCAGGACCGGTCCAAGGAGCGATCATCCCCAGCACCGAGGGCTGGCTCTGCCCGTGTGCGATGCACCAACCTCGGCGGTCGGGCTGCGCTGCCCGGGGGCAGCCCCTGCTCTCGGTGCCCCCGCGGGGAATGCAGGGAGGGGCAGCCTGGCCTCTGCCTCGCCGGACTCCCTGTCCCAGGGAGACCCTGCCCGGGAGATCAGGCCGGAGACCCGGGGCGCTCTCCATCCGTCACCCGCACCAAGTCCCAGGGCCGGGGCTTGTCAGCCTGCGGCTGGAAAAGGGGCCCGGAGACGTAGGGGGGCGCCTCATGGCCGGGACACAGAGCCGGGTCCCCCGCCCCGGACGGGGACAGCTTGACCGCCCCGCTTAGGCTCCTGCTTGGAGGGGCCTGAACCCCGCCCCGGGCTCCGGGGGAGCGGCTGGGGGGCTCCTAGCCCCTGTGCCCCGCAGCTCCCGGGGGGCTCGGGAGGACCTGGCCGCCCCGCGCGGCCCCTCCCTACGCAGCAGGAATAGGAGCCGCAGCCGCCGCTACTTTCACTTTCCAGGGCAGCCCGGCGGGAGGGGCCCGGGCCCCGGCGGCCCCGGCCGGGCGCGCCCCGCACCTGTCCCGGCCTCGGGCGGATGGAGTCGGCGGCGCTCGGCGCGCACGTGGTGGTGCTGCCGAGTCCGGCCGGGCGGGGGGGGATCGGGCCCCTTCCCACGGCCGGGCTGCGGTCCGGGCCGGCGCTAGGGCACCGAAGCCACATCCCCCCGGGGGCACGCGGGAGGCGGGCTCCGGGCAGAGGGGTCCCGCGGGCCAGGCGGCGAGGGGACGCGGGCGGGGGGGGGGCCGTACCTGCAGGAGAAGCCGTCCGTGTGGCGCTCGCCCATGGTGCCGCTGCCCGGCCTCGGGCAGGAAACCCGGGCGCGGAGAGGGGTCGGCGGCGGCTCCGCCCCGCGGCACTTGCCTGGAGCGCGGGACCCCCCCGCTGCTGGGTCCCCCGGCGGGTCTGCAAAGAGCAGCGGCGCGGGGGGGGCAGCCGGGTGCTCCGGGCTGCCGCGCCCAGCGCCTGTTCCCCGGCGCCCCACGTGCGCCGCACTCCGGTCTCCCCGGGGGCCGCAGAAGTTCCCCGGGCGCCCCGCCTGCGCGCCTCGCCCAGGGGCTGCGGGTTCACAGCCCTTCGGGGAACAGGCGACGTTCGGACCAATAAGCAGAGAGCGAGCCGGAGTCCGGCCGCAAGCGATACCGAAAGTAGCCGGCTGCTCAGTGCCGCCTGGCGCCCCGCCGGGGCGGCTGGGGGAAGGGAGACGGAACGGCACAGAAGGGGGGCCCCCACCCCCGGCTTATCTACGGCTGGAAAGGCGGAGAAATAAGCCCAGCGCCTGTCGCCAGCCTCTGCCGCGGCCAGGAAGCCAGCGCCATACGCGGGGAGGAGAAATTCGTCGTGATTGGTTCGGTTTTCCAGCGACGGGGGGGGAACTGCAACCTGACATTAACCTGCTGCCTCTAGTTCCCTTCGGCACGAGGTCTCTGGTCCGGGGATCCTCGGCTGCGCTTCCATTACTCTGCACAGGGCGCCCCCTGGAGGTGCGGTTATGTCATCAAGTTGAAGTGGGGGGGGGGCTTTGGGGGTGATTTAAAGTTGCATTTGATTTAATTCTTCATTTTCTTTGGCTCTTCTTTAACTTAAAAGCGGCTGACTTTTAAGTTGGGTGGGGGATAGCTCCGTGGTTTGAGCATCGGCCTGCTAACCCCAGCGTTGTGAACTCAATCCTTGAGGGGGCCACTTAGGGATCTGGGGCAAAATCGGTACTTGGTCCTGCTAGTGAAGGCAGGGGGCTGGACTCAGTGACCTTTCCAGGTCTAGGAGATAGGATATCTCCATTAATTTATTTTATTTTCTCAGGGTTGGAAGGGACCTCAGGAGGTCATCTAGTCCAACCCCCCCCCTGCTCAAAGTAGGACCAATCCCCAGACAGATTTTTACCCCAGTTCCCTAAATGGTCCCCTTAAGGATTGAACTCACAATGCTGGGTTTAGCAGGCCGATGCTCAAAGTACTGAGCTATCCCTCCACCCAACTTAAAAGCCAGTCGCTTTTAAGTTAAAGAAGAGCCAAAGAAAAAGACATGAGCTCGCAGGCTTTGCATTTTCCAGCTGGAATTCGGTGTAAAAGCGCCATTTACACACTCACCAGGATAGAAAGGCTTGGGAGGAGGATTCACTTTGAGACCTTGGCTGGAAGGTGCCGTTTAAGTGCAGAGTATTGGTATATTATAGATTTTCTGTACTCTTCCACCCACCCACTTTTTTTATTACCAGGGATGTTTTCAGAAAATGGGTCTTTGTTCCTTAAAAGCCAGTCCCATCCTGCGGCTGGTGTTCTAGCACAAGGGAGTCTGTCATGCTTCCAGGAAAGCTATTTATGCACTTGGGAATTCTCGGAGATCTTTTCTTCTTGTTTTTATCCTTCCACCGTTGTTAAATGACGTAATCCCTCTGCAAGAGGCAAGCTGAGGGGCTTTAGCCAAGCCCAAAGAATATTGATCATAGTAGAGAGCGGTGCCTTGATTTTCCCTTAGCTGTGTTTGAAAAGGGGATCAGGATAAAAAGTGCCGTCACAATGCCTTTCTCTATGATCAAGCCAGTCCTAGCGAGGAGGGATGGACTCTACCAGCAGCAGTCTTTGCTGTCTTGGCAGCAAAGGGAAGAAGCATTGGGTGTAACTCCAATTTGAGACTGGTCAATGGGATGATTGTACTGTCCCAGAGAATTAAGGGCTGCAGGACTGGCCCTCAGACACACAATCTACTGAGCCATCCAAAATGGCAGGATGACGCTTATTTGCCTGTAGAGTGAAACTTGGTTGGTCTGTGCAGTCACTTCTCCCACTGGCTTCGCTGCAAGGCCTGTGTGTGCAAAAAAATCCAGAATAGGGCCCTTTCTTTGGCGTTTTACACTCGTACCTAGGCTTTGAAGAATCAGAAACGTTGGGGGAACGAATGGTTTTCCCTTCTTGAGCAGAACTGCGTACGCAGTGGCTGGTGCCCTCACTGACCATAGACAACCTGACGCACAGAAGACTTTGAAGCTTCCTTTAAAACGTGCCTGGGTAGAAAACACCTGCTCACCTACCACAGTACCTAACCCTACAGGCAACCGCAGCTAACCCTGCTGACCATCAGCCTCTGCCTGTCTGCTTGTGTATTGTAATTCCACACTAAATAGCTGAGTACCTTCCTATGTACAGCTGATGACACTCCTATGTCTTGGGAAGCTGAAGGTGTAGTGCTGGGATCCTGGGTTCAATTCCTGTCTCTGCCACAGACTTCCTGGATGACCTTAGGCAAATCTCTTAATCTCATTGTGCTTCAACTCCCCAGCTGTAAAAAAAAGAGATGACAATCCTTTGTTTGTCAGTTGTGTCTAGTTAGATACAAGCTCAGCAGGCAGGGCCTGTCTCTTACTGTGTAGATGTACAGTTCTTAGCACGGTGGGACCCCAGTGCAACCATAAGACAAATAGTACAATACTGCACCAAATCCCTCCACTGTCACCTGTATATAAGACCACCCCTAAAACCTGAGTATGTAACAGATCTTTACCTCCAGACGTACCATCTCTATAAAACACAGACTAAGAGTTCTTTTATTGCCTTTTTCCTGTTGCAGGGGAACTCGTTATCCACACCATCTCAGCACTAAATATAGGGCAAAGCTCCCATTGCCGTCGCTGGGATTGTTGGGTCTGCAGCCAGATGCCGGATCAGGCCGAGTGCAGGTAGCAGAAGTGTCTGACGGCCTCCGAGTTCATGTCGTAGCCCCGCGGAGCAGGCCATATATGGTATCCTCTTACTGTTGTTGTTATTGCGTCATGTCAGTTGGCGTTGGAGTCCCAACGTGTCCTATATGTGCCCGATCACTCCACACAGGCAGCACAGCCATTCCGTTAGCGGGTTAAGCCGATGTTTATTTTTAGCTAAGATTCTTTGTTTGCTCTGGTGCTCTTGGGAAGTGACTTCCTGTAAGGAATGTTAAACATCACTGGGACTGGCCCTGCGGCTGGGCCAGGTCCAGGCTGCTCCGGAGTGCACCAGGAAAACCTCTCTAAAATGCCTCCATCTAGGATTTGTCTAAGGATAAAGGGCGATGCACTCCCAGCCCAGGTGCCAGGGCGTCCCGTCCGATTGTTGCCTCATTCTCTGAAAGTTTTCTAAAGACTTCAGTGCTGCTCTTGTAACTAGGGAGACTGGTTCCTAAAGAAATTATAAGGCGTCTTAGTGAACTCATGGCTATCTGGCTTAAAAGATTTGGAGAGCTACTGATGCATGCTGTTTAATGATTAATTAGTTATTAATGCAGTACACTCAGCCCTTTACATCACCCAGAACAAAGACAGTCTCTGCCCCAAAGAAGCTGGTATCTCAGAGTAGCCAGGATGCACCGAAGAGCAAATGGCTGGCATTCTATATAAATCATCCTTAGTATTATTGAATCACTTCTTGTGGGATGTCTAGACTGCAGTGAGTCTGCAGGAGCCACTGGGATAAAAGGAGAGTGGGGTTTGCTGGACTGAAATAGGGATGGCGTGGCAAGCACATGGGGCAGTGTGCAAAAAGGCACAGATGGCTGTGGGAGACACAGGGCAAGGAGGCAGAGTGGGGGAAGGGTAGCGGTTGCAAACTGCTTTGAACCAGAAGAGCACTGTGTAAGTTCTATGCCCGTTACACCTTTGGTAATATCTTATTTAGTTTTAGGGGGGTGAGTGTCATGGTTACTGCAGGGTTCTGGGAGTCTGGGCTTGTCTTCTGGACCTGCCGCTGACTTGCTGTGTGATCTCAGGCAAGTCACGTCAGTGCTCTGTGCCTCAGTTTCCCCATCTGGAAAATGGAGAGATTCACACTCACTGGCCGCACAAAGGGTACTGTGGAACCTAATGACCATGGGTAAAGCACGTTGAAATCCTTGGCTCAGAAGATTCATTTAAATAGCATCTGGTGCCAAAATGGGAACGCCAGACTAGAACAGCAGGGGAGATGGCGCAGGCCAGAAGGGAGGAATTACCTAAAATTCCTGCATGTAAGAAAGGAATGCTGCCACAAACCTAAAAGTGAGTTTCTGATACCATCTAGTGGACATTTTTAGTATTGTGCTGGAAAATAAAGGAGAATTTGTTTTCTAATAAATGTACAGTAACTCCTCACTTAAAGCCGTCCCTGTTAACATTGTTTCGTTGCTGATCAATTAGGGAACAAGCTCGTTTAAAGTTGTGCAATGCTCCCTTCTAACGTCATTTGGCAGCCGCCTGCTTTGTCCACTGCTTGCAGGAAGAGCAGCCCGTTGCAGCTAACTGGTGGGGGCTTGGAACCAGGGTGGACCGGCAGCCCCCCCATCAATCAATCAGCTCCCCACTCCCCTAAGTTCCCTGTGCAGCAGCTGCCCAGCAGGCTATCAATTGAAGCTATCCCTCCCCCCACTGCCATGTGCTGCTCCTGCCCTCTGCCTTGGAGCTGCTCCCCGAGCCTCCTGCTTGCTGTGCGGGGGGGGGGGGAAGAAGGGGGCTAATGTCAGGGTGTCCCCCTTCCCCCCTGCTCCTGCCCCTGCTTACCCCTTCTTCGCCATATAGAGCAGGGTGGGGACACGGACAGGGGCAGTGTGCATTTCTCTCTCTCTCTCCCCCACACACAAGGTGTGTGTCTGTCTCTGTCTGCTATGCTGTCTCCCCTCCCCTCCATTCCAGCTGCCTTGCAGAGTGAGAGGCTACATTAACAACAATGTGTTAACCCTTGAGGGCTCAGCCGAGTGCTAGTTCATCATTTAGCACCGGGGTTCTCAAATTGGGGGTTGGGACCCCTCAGGGGGTCACGAGGTTATTACATGGGGGGTCGCAAGCTGTCAGCCTCCACCCCAAACCCTGCTTTGCCTCCAGCATTTAGAATGGTGTTAAATATATTAAAAAGTATTTTTAATTTGTAAGGGGGGGGGTCGCACTCAGGGGCTTGCTATGTGAAAGGGGTCACCCGTACAAAAGTTTGAGAAC